TGACTCTTTAAAATTCCAGGTAAATAATATGGCCTTCCAAATACCGTTTCGATCCCTAACATCACTGAAGAGACATTAATTGTCGAAATCCGGATCTGGTTTACAAATATTTGCACCTCATGTTTGTGGTATAACATCTTTGCCGCAAGTCTATTGTTTTCTGTTTAGTATTTAATTAATATTAAGATCCATTTTGTGACATCTTGTGATCAATTTATTTGGCAATCGCCAATTGCAGTCAGCAGGGTTTAAAAACATCAGTTGTTCGATCTGTTAGTCAAATGCGTTTTGTTAAAATATACCTTTTCACATTTTTGGTCTTTTTGAAAATGTTGTTTGTGCTGTATTTAGACCCTTCTACAACGGAATTTGTTTTACATGCATTCGTATAAAAATTTCGGTTTTTATCTAACGCAATCATAGGTTTGAACGTAGTTTTCAATTAAGACGTGTTCATATTTTTTCGTTTGGGCTTGTATCATATTTTCCCTCCGGTTTATATGATCCTTTCATCCTATTTTTACTCTTAAAAATTCAAGAGTCTATCCTAAATTCAGGTAAATCATATGGCCTTCCAAATACCGTTTCGATCCCTAACATCAAAAAAATATGATACAAGCCCAAACGAAAAAAATATAAACAAGTCTTAATTGAAAACAACGTTCAAACCTATGATTGCGTTGGATAAAAACCGCAATCTGTATACCTGTGCATGCAATCATAGGCTTGAACGTTGTTTTCAATTTAGACTTGTATATCCATCATATATATATATATATATATATATATATATATATAAGCAAGTCTTAATTGAAAACAACGTTCAAACTTATGACTGCGTTTGATAAAAACCGCACTTTTCATACGTGTGTATGCAAAGCAAATGTCTTAATAGAGTAGTCTAAATACAGCACAAACAGCATTTGTCAAAAGACAAAAAAAGTGAAAAAGTATATGTTAACAAATCGCAATTGACTAGCAGGTCGAACAACGGATGTTCTTAAGCCTTGCTGACTTCCATTGACGATTGCCAAATAAACGGGTCACCAGATGTAACAAATCAGATCTTAACTATTAATTTAATACCAAAAAGAAAACAATAAACTTGCAGAAAAGATGGAATACCGCAAACAAAAGGTGCACAAATGTGTACACTATATCCGGATTTCGACTATTAATGTCTCTTCAGTGATGTTAGGAATCCAAACGGTATTTGGAAGGCCATATAATTTACCTCAATTTAGGATGGACTCTTGAATTTTGACAAGTCGAAATAGGATGAACGGATCATATAAACCCGACGGAAAATATAATACAAGCTAAAACGATAAAATATAAACAAGCCTAAATTGAAAACAACGTTCAAACCTATAAATGCGTTGGATAAAAACCGCTATTTTTATACGTGTGCATTCAAAACTTATTTCTTGGCAGAGGGGTCTAAATACAGCACAAACAACATTTTCCAAATGACCAAAAAAGTTAATAAGTATATGTTAACAAAACGCATTTTACTAGCAGGTCGAACAACGGATGTTCTTAAACCCTGCTGACTGTCATTGGCGATTGTCAATAAACGGATCACCAGAAATAACAAAATGGATCTTAACTATTAATTTAATACCAAAAAGAAAACAATAAACTTGCAAAAAAGATAGTGTACCGCAAACAAAAGGTGCAACAATTTGTACACAATATCCGGATTTCGACAAATAATGTCTCTTCTGTGATGTTAGGAATCGAAACGGTATTTGAAAGGCCATATAATTTACCTCAATTTAGGATAGATTCTTGAATTTTAAAAAGTCGAAATAGGATAAACAGATCATATCAACCCGAAGGTAAATACAATTCAATCACAAACGAAAAAATAAAAACAAGTCTTAATTGAAAACAACGTTCAAACCTATGATTGCGTTGGATAAAAACCGCAATTTTTGTACGTGTGCATGCAAAACAAATTTCTTGGTAGAGGCGTCTAAATACTGCACAAACAACATTTTCCAAAAGACCAAAAAAGTGAAAAAGTATATGTTTACAAAACGCATTTTACTAGCAGGACGAACAACCAATGTTTTTAAACCCTGCTGACTGTCATTGGCGATTGTCAAAAAAACGGATCACCAAATGTAACAAAATGGATCTCGACTACAAATTTAGTACCAAAAAGAAAACAATAAATTTGCGGAAAAGATGGTATACTGGAAACAAAAGGTGCACAAATCAGTACACCATATCCGGATTTCAACAATTAATGTCAATTCAGTGATATTAGGAATCGAAACGGTATTTGGAAGGCCATACAATTTACCTCAATTTAGGATAGACTCTTGAATTTTGACAAGTCGAAATAGGATAAACAGATCATATCAACCCGAAAGCAAATATAATACAAGCCAAAACGAACAAATCTAAACAAGTCTAAATTGAAAACAACGTTCAAACCTATGATTGCGTTGGATAAAAACTGCAATTTTTATACGTGTGCATGCAAAACATATTTCTTGGAAAAGGGGTCTAAATACAGCAAAAACAACATTTTCCAAAAGACCAAAAAAGAGAAAAAGTATATTCTAACAAAACGCATTCGACTAGCAGGTCGAACAACGGATGTTCCTAAATCCTGCTGACTGCCATTGGCGATTGCCAAATAAACGGATCACCAGATGTTAGGAAATGGATCTTAACTAATAATTCTATACCAAAAAGAAAACAATAAATTTGCGTAAAAGATGGTATACCGCAAACAAAAGGTGCAATAATTTGTACACCATATCCGGATTTCGACAATTAATGTCTCTTCAGTGATGTTAAAAATCGAAACGGTATTTGGAAGGCCATATAATTTACCTCAATTTAGGATAGACTCTTGAATTTTGAAAAGTCGAAATAGGATAAACGGATTATAAAAACCCGAAGGTAAATGCAATACAAGCCAAAACGAAAAAATATAAACAAGTCTAAATTGAAAACAACGTTCAAACCTATGATTGCGTTGGATAAAAACCGCAATTTTTATACGTGTGCATGCAAAACAAATATCTTGGAAGAGGGGTCTAAATACAGCACAAACAACATTTTCCAAAAGACCAATAAAGTGAAAAAGTATATTTTAACAAAACGCATTCGACTAGCAGGTCGAACAACGGATGTTCTTAAACCCTGCTGACTGCCATTGGCGATTGACAAATAAAAGGATCACCAGATGGACCAAAATGGATCTTAACTACTAATTTATACCAAAAAGAAAACAATAAACTTGCGGAAAAGATGGTAAACCGCAAACAAAAGGTGCAACAAGTTGTACACCATATCCGGATTTCGACCATTAATGTCTCTTTGGTGATATTAAGATTCGAAACGGTATTTAAAAGGCCATATAATTTACCTCAATTAAGGATAGACCCTTGAATTTTGAAAAGTCGAAATAGGATAAACGGATCATATAAACCCGAAGTTAAATACAATACAAGCCAAAACGAAAAAGTAAAAACAAGTCTTAATTGAAAACAACGTTCAAATCTATGATTGTGTTAGATAAAAACCGCAATTTTTATACGTGTACATGCAAAACAAATTTCATGGTAGGGGGGTCTAAATACAGCACAAACAACATTTTCCAAAAGACCAAAAAAGTGAAAAAGTATATTTTAACAAAACGCATTTGACTAGCAGGTCAAACAACGGATGTTCTTAAACCCTGCTGACTGCCATTGGCGATTGCCAAAAAAACGGATCACCAGATGTAACAAAATGGATCTTAACTATTAATTTAATACCAAAAAAAACCAATAAATTTGCGGAAAAGATGGTAAACCGCATACAAAAGGTGCAACAATTTGTACACTATATCCGGATTTTGACAATTAATGTCTCTTCAGTGATGTTAGAAATCGAAACAGTATTTGGAAGGCATTATAATTTACCTCAATTTAGGATAGACTCTTGAATTTTGACAAGTCGAAATAGGATAAACGGATCATATAAACCCGAAGGTTAATAGAATACAAGCCCAAACGATAAAATATAAACAAGTATTAATTGAAAACAACGTTCAAACCTATGATTGCGTTGGATAGAAACTGCAATTTTAATACGTGTGCATGCAAAACAAATTTCTTGGTAGAGAGGTCTAAATACAGCACAAACAACATTTTCCAAAAGACCAAAAAAGTGAAAAAGTATATGTTAACAAAACGCATTTTACTAGCAGGTTGAACAACCAATGTTCTTAACTAATGACTGCCATTGGCAATTGCAAAAAAAAAACGGATCACCAGATGTAATAAAATGGATCTTTACTATTAATGTAATACAAAAAAAAACAATAATAAGGTTCAATATATATATAACTAATAATTTTTTTATTGAAAACATTGATTATAAGAAAAGACTAGTTTGATGTTGATCGATTAATTTTGTTATCATCTGAAAACAGAATTTGACTCTACAGCAGATTTTTAAAAATTCGATTTAAATGTTAAAAAAAACCATAAAACACTCGTCTACTTATTAAAACATAGTGGATTGCAAATGGATTTGTATCTACCGCCTATTTTTTAGTAGATATTGAAATGAGTCAAATGTATCGAATTTTACTGGATTGATTGTACCTTTTGTCAAACACAATTATATTTTTCACAATTTATTCTAGAAATATCCTTAAAATGTTTTTGTACTTCTAACACATGTTTGTTTTCATAATACAATCTGCAGTGTATACACATGGGTCGTCAAATTGCCGAACGCTTTGATTGTGCAAAGGGCGATGATGATTACGTTTGCGAGTATAGGCCTATCTAGTCTTTTCTTATAATAATTCAATAAAACTATTATTAAACTCTGTCAAACGAACAGGGTCACCAATGGTTATACTATTTGACGTTGGAACTCCAGAAAGTCGTTATTTTTTATTACAGTAAACATATTCTGCAACTGATTGACATTTAAATTTTGTTTTCATTTGCGTCTGATTAAAAGCTTTAACAATATATACATACAGATGTTTAAGCGACGGTAGGTCTTGAAATGTTCCTTGCTGTATTGTTGTTAATATATTTGTATGCAATGATCTGAAAAAAAATATCATATAGAAACCTACAGTATGAGCAACACAAACAACCTAAGCAGTTAATTAATGGTCAATACATATGCATTAATTATTAGTGTCTGTAAACAGGTCATCATACTTATCTTGTCACAATAATTTAGTTATTATAAAATTCTTACAACGTACCATGTACACAAATGTCCTTTCTATATTTTCCACAATAAATAAACAGCTAATAATCACACTGCATGTTAATTGAATATTTTGATATTTCACAATAAACTGAATTTGGCATATTGTTTTTAGTTCTATAAAATACAATGAAATGTGATAAAGGTAGTCTTTTCGAAAAAAAATGTTCACTCTGATTCGGGCACATTGGAACGCAAGTACAGAAATTAGAATATCACTGTTTCATATACGTAATTTTGGTCATGTTCAAACTGAAATATGTATATGCACAACACTGCTTAATTTCCGAAATCTAATACATCCCAAGACGATATACATGTACTCTATCATTCTTAAGATAAGAAGACACATTTGTGTTTTATCTTGAAAATGACTAAGTCATTTTGTTAAAGATACATGCATTTGCCGTGATAAGTATTCATGCACACGGTACGCAGTGATATTAAGGCACTTTAACGAGAAAAATACGTTAAAAAGCATATTCTTTTTAATCAACTTTAAATTAAGATTGCCAAAAAAATCTTCAAAGCAGCGGTAGTAGTGTGAATCATTAAAATCTAAATTTAATTTTTCAGTGTTTATTCATATCGAAAGTGAAAGTAGTCACGTGACCCGAGCAGCTACTGAAGGTCATTCATTTCAATTTCAACTCAGAAGTCCAGCGTGTTGCTGGAATCTTTCAACAAAAAATAAAGTATCAATGAATTCGTCTGAATGTATATTTTCTTAAAATTGCTATCCAAAGATGACACTATACTGACAAAAGGTACAAACTGATGTAAATCTGATAGAAATAGTGACGTTTTTACGAATTACCCCGTGGACACCCATTATTTGTATTGAAATCAAGATGTATCAGTGTTTGGATAGCAATATACTCTTAAAAGAGACATTTCTTATTTGAAATTGGTTAAAATCAAGTAAATCTGTCTTCAGGAACACACTGGACTTTTTAATATTCTTAATCGAGTTCTATTTTGTATCGTTGCAGGTCCATTATCAAACGCTTTGAAGACGTTGTTTGAGAACACTTTGAACATATGCGGACAAATCCAATTTTCCGGAGACCAGAGAAGTGTAAATGCCGCGAAAACTTGAATCGATGGACTGTTTTGCGCCTTTATTGCAATGTGTTATTTGTATTTATTTATATCGTTTATATATTTTTTTTATTTATTTAATTGATGTATGCAACTTTTGCTACTGCCAGAATTGAAAAAAAAAATATTTTACTGATCAGATTTTTTTTTCAGTCAAGTCCAAGTACGCTTTTAGGGGTGCAATCTTTCAATGCTTTGTGAAATTTACTAGATCATGTTTTATAAAAAGCACCTACCTTATTCCAGTCATGCCTTCACATTTTCCTTAACATCAAGTTTACCAGCATCACCAGCATAAAGGTAATATACGTTCTGCATATTTCAAATGTAAAAAAAAATTCAGCAAACAATCCACTATTAAGTAAGTGTGGAATGCTTCATAAAAGTCGAGGAATAAAAACAGGGGAAACGTTGTTGGGAAAAAAGGGGGAGTGTGTGTGTTCCAGAATCCTAGAATCCAAACATGATTTATGATTTTTTGGAAACATTTGTTGAGAAGTTTGCTGATCCAGCAAAACTCAAATCATGAATTCACTTCTTTGGTTGAAGAAATACAGAGTTATTACAAGATTGCCTGCTTTCTTTTCCAATAACTAAATCCAATTTGTAGATTGAGTAATTATTACAACAGTAAGAAATGCAATTATAAAGTTTTCAGGTGTAAAAAAACAGAAAACCACTTCACACTTTATAGAAAAATCTATGAGGTACACAATTGTTGATTCCTATTCAAAATACAACATTAGGAAGCTACAATCAAATTGATGTTTGGAGACTAAAAGATTTATCTGCATTAGACTGCAATGGTTTAAAATTCCTATTAGGGCTGTTCCAGAAAATACTATGTCCCCACCAGGAACAGCACTTTTTTAAACCCCACCACCCTTAGAAATAATAATAAATTAGAACAACACTTCCTTTGCATTTTGGTTTTTCAAATACAACCAACCACATAATATAAAAAAAATGCCTTCCCTGGGGGGTGACATAGTATTTTCTGGAACAGCCCTTAATGAAACATATGTAAAAGAATGAAAATATTATCTTGTCACAATTTTTTTTTATTTGACGTCCGTCCAAAATAGGATACAATAGACACACACCTCCTTGCATTCTGCCAAATGTGCAGTGTACAAGCTTTATCCATTTTTTTTGTTGAGACAATATGTGGTTTTTCTCTATTTATCAACTACACACTTCTAACAACCCATGCAATCAAATCAGTTAGTAGGTATTACAGGGTTGTTTCAGTGGCAAGCATTCCACACCTCCTTCTTTTATACCAAAACAATATCAACAACAAATAAATAGTGGTTACACTGAAACATATATACAAGAGGAATGCAGATCCAACCCTCAAATGTCGCAATGAACTTCTAAAAGCTTCCTGCTCATAAAAAGAGGGTGCTGTAAATTGTCATCTTGTTTTGCAAATTGTATTTTGTATATAAAGGAGTTGAAGGTTTGTGGTGGGTCGGTTCGCCTTCAAACTAGTTTAACCCCACCACATTCTGTGTGTGACTGTCCCAAGTCAGGAGCCTGTAATTCAGTGGTTGTCTTTTGTTGATGTATATCATATTTGTTTTTCATTCATTATTTGTCATTTCGGGGCCTTTTATAGCAGACTAAGCACCGTGGGTTTCACTAATTTGTGAAGGCCATACAGTGACCTATAGTTGCTTATTTCTGTGTCATTTAGTCTCTTATGGAGAGTTGTTTCATTGACATATATACCATATCCAATTTTTAAAAAGGCCTTACAACCTTTTTTTTTTTTAACTTCAGACTGCAATTCAAGGACCTTTAATCACTTAAGTCTCAAATTTTCTAAAGTAAACAAACAAACACTGTTTTTCTCCATCATTTGCTTACAGACATTATAGCAATTGTGAAAAATTTGAACCCTCGATATACAATTTCTTATTAATATTTTCATATCATATTTTCACTGAAATTGTATTAATACCAAATTCATTTTATATTTCACTGAAATTGTAATATCAAATTTATTTCATATTTCGCTGAAATTGTATTATCAAATTTATAACACAAAGCTATAAAGCAATATACATGTACATCAAATGCAAACTTCGGATGATTTTAAACAATTCAGTTGTAGTGTTAGTTCTTGGTCCTTTTGTTATTTTTCTCTGTGGGCTGCAACACATAAATTGATCAACCAAGTACGCTCTTGTTTTGAGAAAGTCTGAAATAAGAAATACAAAATAATTGCAGAATTAAGTGTAGAACATAATCCTTGAAGCAATACACCAAATATAAAGTATAGCAGTCTAAACATAAAACTTTATAAACTGCAGCTGTGCTATTTGTGCAATCAAATTGCATTGATCTTATAATCATTTGTGATTAAGTCGCTGACCGTACATATATAGTGGACAAAAGTGAGTTCCCATTTAAAAAAAAAAGTCCTATCATTTCAACTCAAATCAATATTTAAATAAATGAAGAATGTGTCCCCATGGACACATATGATGCCCCCGCTTGCATACAACATTATAAAGGGACATAACTCAAAAACAATAAAAGAGACGCTACCCAAATTTGTACTTGATCTGAGTTTTGTGGTAATAATTATTGTGTATAGGTTTCATAATGTTTGGTTGACACAAGCTCAAGTTAAAGAATCGAAACTAAAAATTTTGCAATTTTTCCATATATAAAGGTGCATAACTCTAGAACGGTTAAAGTGACGCCAATAAAATTCAGACTTGATCTGTGTTTTGTGGTAATAAGCATTGTGTATGAGTTTCATAACATTTGGCTGAGGCAACTTACGTTAGAGAACGGAAACTAAAAAGTTTGCATTTGTTTTCCATTTATAAAGGGGCATAACTCGAGAATGGTTAAAGTGACCCAACCAAAATTCAAACTTAATCTTTATTTTGTAGTAATAAGCATTGTGTATAAGTTTCATAACATTTGGTTGAGGCAAACTTAAGTTAGAGAACGGAAACTAAAAATTTTGCAATTTTTCGATTTATAAAGGGACATAACTCAATAATGCTTAAAGTGACCCCACCAAAATTCAAACTTGATCTTAATTTTGTAGTAATAAGCGTTGTGTATAAGTTTCATAACATTTGGTTGAGGCAAACTTCAGTTAGAGAACGGAAACTAAAAATTTTGCAATTTTTCCATTTATAATGAGGCATAACTCTAGAACGGTTAAAGTGATGTCATTAAAATTTAAACTTGATCTGTGTTTTGTGGTAATAAGCATTGTGTATAAGTTTCATAGCATTTGGTTGAGGCAAACTCAAGTTAGAGAACGGAAACCAATTTTGGGACGTACGAACAGACGGACGAGGGTATAACTTAATGCCCCCTCTGCTACATCGGGGGCATGAAAAATAATACCAAGTAACTTATGAGCGATTTCTATAAAATAAGTACCACAAGATGTAGAAATGACTGAAGTTTAATTTTTTCTTCGACCAGGAGTTTAATGTGGGTCATTCTTTTTTTCACCTTTCTAATTTCATGAATTTGATAAGGTTGCATAGCAAACCTTCCATAAATATTATCCTTTGTGTTCACCTTGTTAGAAATTAAAATGATGAACTTGTCCAAAATAATAAGAATCCTTATTGAAGTTATTCTTTGTATTTTGGTTTAAATCTAACAAGGTTATTTACAATAGTATATCATAACTTTATATGACAGACATTTACAAAAGAACCGTTTCTCCCAAAAATGTCCTAGTTGTAAT